CATGTTTGCCAAGGCTCAAAGAGTTCGTTGCTTGGAGTCCCAGCCAGAATACCAGCGTTTGAGGGACCTAGGATTGGCCACCAGGCCATTTGGTTGCAGTGTTGGCTGTCATCCAGCTGCCCGCGTTTACAGAGCATCCAGCGCTGACTCATCGCATTTCTCCAGGTCTTGGGATGGAGATTCCGGTCGAAATGCATGGCAGGCGCTGCTTTGTGTGATGGAGTTGATGCTCAAATCACACCTGGAGAGCAATAGTCAAGACAGATTGGCTAGAAGGCAGCTTGCGAAGATCCAATCTCTGCGAGCCAATGAGCCGCCTCATAGTGATTAGCTCCACCGACAAGCACAAAGACTGCACTTAGAATACCACTACTAGACTATAAGTACACAGTACTCTACTGTACTGAAGAATAACAGGCTACTGTACTGAAGAATAACAGGCTAGTGTACTGTGGAGTGCTTACTGTGGAACTAAGCTGCATGCTCACTGTCACAGGTTGCCACGCCCAGACACCGCTTGAATGTACTTGAATGTATTGTACAGAATGCATGACGTGGCACGTTTGAAGCAAAGGGCAAAGGGGAAAGAAATGTGCTTGGTCAGAAACATGCGGCGGCTCTTGGGGACGCTGCAGGTTTCAATACAATTTCACAACCTAATAGCAATGGCCTCCAACCTGGTCCAACCTAATAGCCATGGCCTCCAATCAATAGCAATGGCCGTGGCCTCCAACCTAATAGCAGTGGCCTCCAACCCAATAGCAATGGCCTCCAATCTACTGTAATAGCAATGGCCTCCAACCTTCTAGCAATGGCCTCCAACCTAATAGCCATGGCCTCCAACCTATTTATTGCAACGTACAGTAAGTAATAGCAATGGCCCCTGACCTAATAGTAGTGGCCTCCAACCTAATAGCAATGACCTCCAACCTAATAGCAATGGCCTCCCGCCTGCATGGGCACTGTACAGTGCAATGTATACCGCTGTGCTCTTGACTTTAAACAATACAGTATCATTCCAATTGTCCACAGTACAGTACGGCTTCCACAGTGCTTTGAGGCTCATTTCATTTGTCTACAGCACAGTAGCCACATGATTTGAGGCCTTAGCTTTCATATTATACTGTACCACACAGTGCAATACACCGCGCAGTACATATGCAGGAAGTAGAAAAACTGTGTGCTGTAGAGTACAGTTACAAATTTTGAAACAAACAGAACTTACAGTACTGTACTGTAGTGACGCAGCAATACTACTGTACTGTACAGTACTGTAAACAACTCAACTGTAGTGACCGGGCAGGGTACTGTATTGAAGCCATGGACCCAAATGAGGCGGGAATTTTACTGCTCTGAGGTCAGAGGATTGCAGTACAGCGTGTGAATAGCTTATCCTGTACTGTACTGTATACCCAGACCATTTGTTGGTTGCGCAGGTTGTGGCTGCCTCCAAGAAGAGGAAGTGCGCCCTTGCTGACGAGGTGGTTGAGCTGGGGTGGCTTGTTGTTTGGTTGCAGAAGTGCTTTGGTTTTTGTCTACAGTAAGCAAAACTACTATACTGTACTGTACTATACTGTACAATACCTTTTGTACTCTGTACAATACCTTACTGTACTGTACTGATTGGAATAATGTAGAAAACGGATTTGGATGATATTCTGACTGTTTGAGTTTGGGTGGCAGATTTGGCAGGAGTTGCAGAACAAAGTGAGCGAAGCCCGTCAGGAAGAAAGGCCAGGGCAGCCACTCCAAATGAATTTCTGATGTGTGTTGTCTTTGTTTCGGAGTACTTTTAAGCCACACCAGGCACGTGTCACCAGGCCTTGTTTCTCGGAAGGCAACGGAAGGCCGATGAGAACAGCTCCATCTCGGGAGATCTCAAGGCGTTGTTTGGTTGGGGGAACGTGACGGTCGCCTCGAAGAAAGCCCATCTACTGTAAGATCTATGGGACTGGCATATTTACTGTATGTGCACTGTATCTTACGATCATCTCACATCCGGGCTTTATTGGTCAATGTAAGTGGAAGATACTACTGTAGAGGAACGTTGACATTTTCTCTTACTGTACTGTATGCAACTGCAGCCGAAACGTTGCAGTTAGAATATAGACTGTTCATGTGCGTCTTCCAATCTTTCCCACCAAAATATTTCCTAGATTCATTTGTGTGGTTTCATATCAATCTGAAGACCGCCAAACACCAACTGAAAGAATAACCAGATGTGCAGCCTTTCTCTGCTGGTGGCAGGTGGAGCCGAAAGATCCAGAGAGCGCCGCTACATCATTGGACAAGGCCATGGAAGGGATACGGTGGGAAACTAAGATTTTGAAACTAACTAGGCCACGGTTTGCTTTTGGCTGGAATTGAAATGCACTGGTATTTGGGTGAGTGAAACTAACATTTGAAGAACTTTCACCCCTAAGTGCGGACCGTGACGGTTGAAACCTAGCCTATACTGTACTGTTTGTTTATTTCGTAAAGCAAAACAAGCTGCAAACAGTGCAGTTAGAATAAATCTTCAATTACACTACTGTAGCTGTAAAATAAGCCTTCGGCGGCTCATGGGGACGCTGAAGGGTTCCTAGTGCATAAAGAATTGTGCCAGACTGTGCAATAGATACTGCACTGTACTAGCAATGGCCTCCAACCCAATAGAAATGGCCCCTAACCTGATTACAAAGGCCTCCAACCTAACGACAATGGCCTCCAACCTACTGTAAAAACAATGGCCTATGCTTTTCCGATCAGTTTTCTTCAAAATTACATACATGTCTTATCATGTCCTATCATTTTTCTGTTAAACTATTTACTTGCTCTATCAATTTCAACTACTGTACTATATTTGGCCTATCAATTTTCCTTCACAATTCTATACATTTTGCATACATGGTCCTTCAAAATTCTATACTGTTGCTAGATTTGTAGTCTTTTCTGATCCTATATTTAAGGATTACAGTGAGGCAGGCAGTCTACATATATATATTCTAACTGCACTGTTTTTACTGTTTTCTAATAAGAGCAGCCAAAGATCAATCATCAGTGGGCAAAAGTTTGCCTGCTTGCTAGCCATGCTGTGTCAAAAACATCATTATCTCAAAATGATCTGAAACTCAATAGTTGTGTCCGTTTTCATCCGATTCTGGTGAATTTAGTCCTATCTCTTCTCAAATTCCTTCAAAAGATTGAATTCTCACAACTTTAGTCTTTCCAAAATTTTCAATTTTTACGATATGGCCTCAAACCTCTTGAAACTTCAAGGAAAAACAGGAACTGAAGGAATTCGACCAGCAAACTATCCAAAAATAGTGATTTTTAACAATTTTTAAAAAATCCTAAATTTCAAGAAATGGCCTCAAACCTCTTGAAACCTCAAGGGAAGACAGGAACTGAAGGAATCTGACCAGGAAAATAACTAAGAATTAAAAATTAACTAGCTACTTTTGGTTCACTTTTTCTCCTCTCCCCCTGTCTCTGTGTCTGTTGTGAGAATTCAATCTTTTGAAGGAATTTGAGAAGAGATAGGACTAAATTCACCAGAATCGGATGAAAACGGACACAACTATTGAGTTTCAGATCATTTTGAGATAATGATGTTTTTGACACAGCATCACTAGCATCATGCGCATAACTGGCATCACGTACAGCATGGCTAGCAAGCAGGCAAACTTTTGCCCACTGATGATTGATCTTTGGCTGCTCTTATTAGAAAATAGTAAAAACAGTGCAGTTAGAATATATATATGTAGACTGCCTGCCTCACTGTAATCCTTAAATATAGGATCAGAAAAGACTACAAATCTAGCAACAGTATAGAATTTTGAAGGACCATGTATGCAAATTGTATAGAATTGTGAAGGACCATTTATGCAAAAGGCTAGCAAGCAGGCAAACTTTCGATCTTTGGCTGCTCTACAGTGCATAGTCTGCTCCATGTGCAGGAGAAGAGCTGGGCAGACGCAGACGACTTCTTGGACGCGGATGGGGCCGATGATGAGGAGTTCGAATCTGGTGGAGAAGCTGATGAGGTTGAAGGCCAAACATCTTCCTCTTCGACATTGAAGCCAACGTTCGTGGCCAGTCGGGAAGATGGAGCTCTAAGGCCGTTCACTACACAGAAGTGGCAGCAGCTCCCACTGGAAGAGCTGTGGAAGAGGCCTTCAGTCAGAGCCCTGGAGCGTGAGCTGCTCGGGAAGCGTAGATCCTCCGGAGGGAGGAGGAAGAAGAAGAAGAAAGGAGATGGAAAGTGAGAAAAAAGGTGTATTGTTGGAGTACGGCGGCTCTTGGGGACGCTGTGCTTCAACAAATGCGCGTTTCGCGTCGCGTTTTTGTTCCGTTGCATACATACATACATCCATACATACATACATACATACATACATACATACATGCACAAAAGTACAAAGCCTGACTGCGCAGCACGGCAACCAAACATAATAATGTAAAGTAAACAAACCAGCCAGCAAGCATTTCTCGATCCGCAACATTCAGAACAGCAGCAACATCAACAATCCTAACGACATACGTTTATCAATGTTTTCTCAGATATATATATATATATATTCTATCTGCACTCCGGTTTTAACTATCTGATCCATATTCTATATTTAATTTTTTCATATTCTAACTGCATTTAAATAGTTTTTCATATTCTAACTGTGTTTCCCCCACTGTAGATAGATATAGCTATGTATAGGTAGTATATCCCACTATGGACATGCACGGAAGCAGGGTTGTCTAAACTCCTGAGAATTCCAGATCCACTGGTTACGACAACCAAGTACTGGGGAATCGGATGAGGATCCGGAACACAACAAAAATTGCCCACAGCTAGTCCCACAGCTATATATAGGCCATCATTCACTTTATTATATCCCCTAGGAGATGGTTGGACCCAAGTCCCATAGAGAAGGGGTCATCATTTTGGAGAATCAGAATCAGACCTACACACACGCTTTTCACCAGGCGCACTTGTCCTTTTCCGCCATACCTCTTTGCCTGAGGATCAAGATCGTGTTCCGACCGGGTACCTCCGTGGAGATGCTTGTAACTGCGAGCCGCAGGCGCCGGATAGCGCCGGATAACATTGAATCTTCATGCTGGGGGTCAGGGGTTGGGAACACATGGGACATTTTTAGGTGTTTAAGATTCTAATGGATCATCACATGGGGCAGCCCAGGAGGGCTTTGCCATGAAAACATGTGGTTTTGCAGTGGCCAAGGCACATGGAAAGAAGTCCCACAAGGGCTCCTGAGATGTGCAGAGAAGAAACATCGAGTTCCAAGGCCCTGGCTACCCAATCTCCACTTATTGGAAGGATTTTGGGGGACGGTGTTTCTTTTGCGATGGTAACCAGTGTATTTCCAGACGGTTGCATTCATCGTGTTTTTTCTAACCTGTGGACGGTGTTTTTTGCGACGGTAAGCTGTCCACCGGTGTTTTTTGCGTCGGCTGCCTGGTGTTTTCTGCGAGAGTAATAAGCTGTCTGTTTTTGTTGCGTCGGTTGTTTGGTGTTTTTTGCGACGGTTGTCACGTCAAAGTCAAGCGGCAGTAAGACATGAAGTTGTAGCAAAAAACACAACATTCACTGTTCTTGTTTGTTGATGTTGGTGGTGGAGGATTGCTAGTTGGACATGGAACGGGCTGCAGTGATAGCAGTAGTGGTAGTAGTCGTCGTCGTAGTAGTAGTAGCAGCAGCGGTGGTCGTTGTGCTTGTGGTTGTGGTCACTGTGGTGGCGGTGGTTGTGCTTGTAGTGGTAGTCGTGGTAGTCCTTGTACATGGTAGTAGTCCCAGTCGCAGTCGGAAATTTGGCCGTAGTCGTCGTCGTAGTAGTAGTGGCTGTAGTAGTAGTAGTAGTAGT